AGGAGGCTGAGGCAGAGAACTGCTTGAGCCCGGGAGGGGGAGATTGCAGTGAATCAGTGACTCGACATCACACCACAGCACCAGCTGGGCAACAGAGAGAGACTCCAAAAGAGAAAAAAGAGAAGAAGAAGGAGAAGAAGACGAAGACGAAGGAGATGAAGACGGAGACGGAAAAGGAGAAGGAGAAGGAGAGGGACAGGGAGAGGGAGAGGGAGCAGGGAGAAAAGGAGGACGAGGAGGAGGAAGAAGAAGAAGAAGCAGAAGCAGGAGGAGGAAGAGGAGGAGGAAGGGGAGGAGGAAGAGGAGAAGGAAAGAAGAAGAAAGAAGAAAGAAGAAAGAAGAAAGAAGAAAGAAGAAGGAGAAGGAGAAGAAGGAAGAAAGAAGACGACTCCATGTTGAATATTCCTGGCTTACAGGTATCCCTTTTCTATTGGCATAGGTGCCTGCATTTACCTATGGAAGCTTTTGGTTAAGCTTATCTACGCTTGAGGCTTGATTTTTAGACTGATTTTTGTTACAGAAGAAATTATATGGGGGCCGCTTTTTTATTGAAAGAAAAATCATACCGAAGACTCCCTTACCCAGACTAACTGCAGAATAATTTGCTTTTAGCTTCTGTATCAGCAGTGCTTGCCCCATAGGCGATGATCATGAGAGGGACCAGGAGCCTCTAGACTTGGAGACAAGTTGCCAGCACTCTCCAGATGGAGTGTTTCCCTCCCCAGCACCCCCTGCTGGTCAGTTTGACAAACAGGTGAACAGAAGTTCTCAAATACTCAATATGCAGATCACTCCAACGTCACCAAATATATCACGCTGTGATGGCATTTTGTCAAATTATCTTTATTTTTTACCTGCATCATCTGTTGCTCTCTGAGGGAGGTATTTTGAGTTTTCTCACACTGACTGGCATTTGCCTTTTTTTTGTATGTCTGTCAGCTTTCGCCATATATACTTTGTAGTTGTGTTGTGTTATGAGGAAGATTCATGACCTACCTTGTGGGAGAATTCTGTATTTAGCAGATGTTCATCTTATGTTTTATTTGACTAACTATTGATGTTATTACTTTACTTTTCAGTTTCACATTCATTTAGTATATCTTTTTCCTTTCTTTTAATGCTTGTGTGTTGTTTATTTCAGATATGCTTCCTTATGTACTAACTGTGACCCCCAAATTCATATGTTGAAGTCCCAACTCCCAATGGATTTGTTAATGGGTCTTTGAGAAGTAATTGGGTTTAGATGATGTCATGAGGGTGGAGACCCTGATGATGTATTTAAGTCCTTCTGAGAAAAGGAAGAGAGTCTGAGCTCTCCTCTGTCTCCACTGTGTGAGGGCACAGAGAGATAGCAGCCATCAACAAGCTGAGAGAAGAGGACTGAGAATGAAACCTACCTCACCAGAACCTTGTCATATCCCTTCCCAGTTTCCAGAAAAGTGAGAAATCAATTTCTGTTGTGTAAGCCACTCTGTCTAGGAACTTTTGTTATGGCAGCCAGAGCAGATTAATGCATGCTGCTTGGACTTTGTTTTTAATTCAATATGAAAAACTATATTTTAATAAGAAAATTATCCCATTCATTTGTATTGTGTTTACTGATAATTTTGGATTTATTCATGCCATATTTAAGAAATCCTCCTTCCTCTTTTCTATGCTTTCTTGTTGTTTTTTTAATCCAAGTGCATGATAAGGTTTGGGAATCACTATCTTAACAGGGCCATGAGGGGTAGATAAGGGAAGCTGGCTTGCATTCAGGGAAGAGGCAAAGGAAGGAAGCTGCCAGCTGGAAGATGCCAGCTGTGTTAAGATGACCTGAGCCCCAGACCCTAGATGAACATTCTGTTCTGGATACAGGACATGCCCGAGGCACCATTTTCAAATCGGCAAATTTTATTTGCTTTGTCTTTTTTCGTCATCTGTATTAACTTTTGCACCTTGATTGCCAAAATATAGCTGTTTCCCTATTACCCCAAGTTCCCAAGTTTAGTTTTTATGTAAGAATTCCCCACCCCCAGGGTGGAGCAAGATGGCCGAATAGGAACAGCTCCAGTCTCCAGCTCCCAGTGCGTGATCGACACAGAAGACGGGTGATTTCTGCATTTTCAGCTGAGATACTGGGTTCATCTCACTAGGGAGTGCTGAACAATCGGTGCTGGTCCACTGCTGCAGCCCCACCAGCAAGAGCTGAAGCAGGGTGAGGCATTGCCTCACCTGGAAAGTGCAAGGGGGAAGGGAATCCCTTTTCCTAGCCAGGGGAACTGAGACACACAACACCTGGAAAATTGGGTAACTCCCACCCCAATACTGTGCTTTACAAAGGGTCTTAGCAAACGGCACACCAGGAGATTACATCCCACACCTAGCCGGGAGGGTCCCACACCCGCGAAGCCTCCCTCATTGCTAGCACAGCAGTCTGCTATCTAACTGCAAGGCAGCAGCGAGGCTGGGGGAGGGGCGCCCACCATTGCTGAGGCTTAAGTAGGTAAGCACAGCAGCTGGGAAGCTCGAACTGGGTGGAGCCCACAGCAGCTCAAGGAGGCCTGCCTGTCTCTGTAGACTCCACCTCTGGGGACAGGGCACAGCTAAACAAACAAACAAAAAAGCAGCAGAAACCTCTGCAGACACAAACGACCCTGTCTGACAGCTTTGAAGACAGCGGTGGATCTCCCAACATGGAGCTTGAGATCTGAGAACGGACAGACTGCCTGCTCAAGTGGGTCCCTGACCCCTGAGCAGCCTAACTGGGAGACATCACCCACTAGGGGCAGACTGACACCCCACACCTCACATGGTGGGGTACACCCCTGAGATGAAGCTTCCAAAGCAAGAATCAGACAGGTACACTCGCTGTTCAGCAATATTCTATCTTCTGCAGCCTCTGCTGCTGATACCCAGGCAAACAGCGTCTGGAGTGGACCTCAAGCAATCTCCAACA